GATTCTCCAAGAGCTTTGCTACCTTCCTTCTGGCTCTCCCTGTTGTCATCATGCTCACGGTGATCCTTCGCCACAAACCGTCCGATCCATTGACGGGATTCGACGACGGTATCAACAATGTTACTACGCCACCGCTAGTAGGTACACATCGATACTTATTTTATATTACTGGGAAATTTGGGAGCGGTCAATTTTCTATGTAATATCGCTTAATGCCACTATCTGTTATCTAATTACGGCTCGAATTTCAAAAGATTCTCAAAGTATTAACATTGTATTAATCAAGTTTAGCCCTTAACTTTGAGCAGTCAAGTGCTAATTGAAATATGAAGAGAAGCATTTTCAAACATGTTAATCGTATTATAAAACCTGTGTATGAACGGCTTGAATATGTCGAAATTAACCCGAAAATATAAGGAAAAGTGTTTTATGTGAATCTCTATTTTTGTTTATGTTTTCAATTCTTTCGTTCAGCAGTCGATGTCTCTCAACACATTGAAATTCCTGAAGACAAAATGCTCGGTGGCCTTCTTGCTGATGGGTTCAACGAACAGTCTTGTTTAAGTCGATATGAGTCTGTTTTATATCGCAAAACTTCAGCTTATAAGCCATCTCCATACCTTGTTTCCAAGCTTAGAACATACGAGGATCTCCATAAACGTTGTGGACCCAACACTCAATCCTACAATGAAGCAGTGAAACAACTCAAGTCCGGTCGTAATATCGGCACGATGGACTGTAAATATGTTGTCTGGGTATGCTACAGTGGGTTGGGGAACAGGATATTAACTCTGGCTTCAGTGTTTCTCTATGCTCTTTTAACTGAACGAGTGTTGCTTGTCGACCGTGGAAAGGATATGGCTGGTCTGTTCTGCGAGCCATTTCCAGACAGATCATGGTTTTTGCCTTTGAATTTCCCTATGATTAAAAAGTTTTCTGGCTTTGATCAAAAGTCTCGTGAATCATACGGGCACTTGCTTAAGAATAATAAGATAAGAGCTTCGATGAAATCACTGCCATCATACATGTATCTCCATTTGACTCATGATTATGATGATTATGATAAGCTGTTTTTCTGTGACGACGATCAAGCTCTTTTAAAAAAGTTCTATTGGTTGATTGTTAAAACAGATAATTACTTCGTTCCATCTCTGTTTTTAATGCCTTCGTTCGAGGACGAACTAAACAAGATGTTTCCGGACAAGGTCACCGTATTTCATCACCTGGGAAGGTATCTTTTTCATCCTTCAAATCATGTGTGGGGACTAATCACAAGGTACTATAAGGCATACTTGTCCAAGGCAGATGAGAGACTTGGCATCCAAGTAAGGATTTTTGATAAAGGACCGGGGCCGTTCCAATATGTGAAGGATCAAATTTCAGCTTGTACAATAAGGGAGAAATTGTTGCCTGAAGTTGATGCAAGAGGATTCAATCCATCAAAAAACCCCAAAGTGAAAGCTGTTTTGATGACCTCTCTGGTTTATGGTTACTACGAGAACATGAGGGACATTTATTGGGAACACGCTACGATGACGGGTGAAATAATCGGGGTTCACAGCCAGCTAAGAAAGGTATTGATACAGGTAAAGTTGTTCCCCATGTGAGACATTGTGAAGATATTAGTTGGGGACTTAAGGTAGTAGATAGCCATACAGAGATCTAAACTTCACCCAGATTTCTCTAGATTTTTTTGTTGTTGAAGAAAACATTTTGTTTTGATTTTTGGAGCTATACTGAATTATGCCTTGTGACTTAAGACATTTGTGACTTAAGACATTTATTTTATGTTAATTACTTATATACATAGACATTAGTTTCCTCTTGCCTTAAAAAAAACACAGATAAGTTCCCTTATGGTTAAGATCAAACACCAAAGGCATCATTGTTCCATCTCTTTCCAGAGGTTAACTCAATGTGTTGCAGTGTACTTGGTTTGTAATCCAACAACAAGACCACACCTCACCTAATCTTTTAACAATTCTCTCCCATGGAAGCTGTATCAGTTGCAACATCGTCAGCAACGATGAGAGCCATTAACTGCCCTTCAACTTCCACCGCCCAAGAGTAGGGGTGTAACTGAACCGAACTTGAACGAATAAGACCGTTTTCGAATTCGTTTGGTTGTTTTTGAATGTAAAAATGTTTGGTTCGTGTTGTTTAAATTTTTAATATTATATTCATATTCGTTTTTTTTATTTTTGAAGGTTTCTGTGTTCGATTCGTTTAGTGTTCATGAACATAATTTGTTTAACGTTCGTCATTGTGTTCGCTTAGCTTTCGCTAACATGTTCGTTTAGTGTTCATCAACAAGTTCATTGGAAATGATCCTTTTTATCATTTTATTTACAAACCAAAGGGAAATGGTGAAATTATGACATTGATTCTTAAACTCCTTAAGCTTAATAGTTTTAACTCCAAAGTTCATTATTTACTTAATTTATTCCCTACCTTCATCAATATTAAAATATATATAAAAAAAGAATAAGATAATCGAGTTTATTAAAGAGACAATAAACAAGCTTTCAAACGAGTTTATTCGTAAATATAAACGAATCGAATGCATCTATATTTGTATCCGTTCGTCCATTAACTGGTTATAAAAAATTTATTTATACTTATTTATTTAAGTTAATAAACAAACCTAAACAAACAATTTATCGATTACTGTGTTAATTTAAACACCTACCCGAGAGCAACTGTTTGCACTACCTTAGCCTCACCAAGTCACCATGGCCACAGACCAAACTCAATAAGGTCACAGACTAAAATTAAAGCAAAGTTCAAGATTGGTCCATCTACTCAATTATTAGGTCCAATCCAACGTTACGTTTCCCTAATGCTTGGTCCATGTTCTAACGTAAGTTGAGTTTTATTAATCGAGGGCCTTGGTCCCTCTTGTTAATGGAACAATTTCATTTTTGGCTTAATATGAAAAATAGTGCCTAAATTATGTTATTTTTTCTCAAAATGGTGTCTAAACCTTTTTTTTGTCAATCCAAGTATCTAATGTTACAAACGTTATTATTTTAGGGGTATGATTTGCAACTAACGTGAAATTTCACAATTAAGTAAAACGTGTCATATTTCGGTAATTTTGAAATTTAAAAAAAATAAAAAACTTAAAAATATTATTATATTAAAAAACCTTAATTTTCTAATTAAAAAATCCCTAAACTGACCTCCTCCCTTGTCGACGATGACCACTAACGCCGCCCTTGCCATCTTCTTTGCTAGCTGTCATTGCTTGTGTTGGTGTAGGTATAAAGATTGGAATTAAGTTTTACAAAGTTTTGAGATTTTGGTATTATTTCTAAAAACTTTTTTGGGGGGGGTTAATAAAATATATTTTTAAGTTTTTTTTTTATGTTTTAAAAAACTTTTCAAAATTATCTAAACTCAACAAGTGTCTCTTAACGGAGTTTTTTAATGGTTGTTACAGCCAAGACACATAAAGTAGTAACGTTTGTAATGTTAGACACCTAGATTAATCGGAAAAAAATTTAGACACTATTTTAAGAATAATTGTATAATTTAGGCACTTATTTTTATATCGAGCCTTCATTTTTAATCTCTTCAAAAATTTAATAACTCGATTCAATTTCTATTAATCCCTTAATTAAATAGAAAATCATAAGAGTGAATAATTTAATTTAAGATATTTTAACATAAAAAATTTTTTTGACATCTGAAAATTTTAATTTTCCCGACACTCTGATATTAAACTCTTAATTTCCTTTTACTTCGATGAACCAGATGTTATTAAAAACGTTGTTATTTCTGATGCCATCGGCATTTGATTATGAAAGAATTCTTACCTTTCAACAAAAAAAATCTTAATTTCATCTTTGTATTTTATATTTACACTAATTTTTTTATAAATTAATAATTAATACTATAATAATTAAATTTTAATTTAACAAATTTATAAAAAAAATAATGTAACTTTTTTTTTTACATTCTTAAACATATTTTCTTTTAAACTTTTATATTTATTTTTGTCACAAAAATTTTAAAATCATATTCACCATATACTATTTGTCCGACATTATTAATGATCTAAACTTAAATCAATTATAAATATTAAATTCTACTGTATAAAATCTTAAACCCTAAATAATATATATAACTAAAATAAATAGAATTGTGTTTATACACAGTCTGCGTATCGGATAATTTTTCTATTTATCAATATTTAATCTATCAAGTAATAAAAAATTTGACATTCAAGGAATATTTTAAATTTCAATATTTTTTATGAAGAAAAAATAATGTTTAAAAAAGTTTATTCTTTTAAGAATCCAACTTAACTCAACTCTATATATAATTGAATATATGATTATCGAATACTTGAGTTCACACCTAGAAAAGTATGTGTCAATAATATTTTATTTTGATGGGTGAAAATAATATATACATATAACTTATGAAAAATTATTTGATATACAGATTGTGTAAAAGTTAAATCTTTTACTAATATGTTTATATAAATATTATTTGATAACCACCACCATAAAAACGTGTCTCTACAATTTATTTCTAATAATTGTTGAATGAGAGTGATAAATTGTTTTCACATTAAAGGAAAATTTATTAGATCCGATTTACTATGTCATAATCTCTATCAATAAAATCCATACATTTTTTTGGGATAAATTTTAATTATATTACCTAAGAAGCAGAAGATTACTACAAAGTTATAAAGTAAGTGAGATCACCAACAAAAAAATTTAGGGAATACCCCATGCTATCCAAAGTTATTATCTACAACGCGTGAACAATTAAACGACTGTTGCTGACCTTCCCTAACAACCCAATAATAGATATGAGCCGCCATTGAATGAGAGTGAAATTGTTTTCACATTAAAGGAAAATTTATTAGATCCGATTTACTATGTCATAATCTCTATCAATAAAATTCATACATTTTTTTTGGATAAGTTTTAATTATATTACCTAAGAAGCAGAAGATTACTACAAAGTTATAAAGTAAGTGAGATCACCAACAAAAACATTTAGGGAATACCCCATGCTATCCAAAGTCTATTATCTACAACGCGTGAACAATTAAACCGACTGTTGCTGACCTTCACCCTAACAACCTGCTTTATAGCCTCCACAGTTCGAGATCTATCCTGAATAGGCGAAAATTTCTCTCTTCCCAATAATAGATATGAGCACGCCAAACAAGTTTCAAAATGAGAACCAACAAAGACTTTCCCTTCAAACAAGAAGCAGCCCAAGCAAGTTCTCGTTCCCAATTTGTAACATCTCTTCTCAAACCACAAAATCTCAAAATCTGCCTCTAGACCCAACACAAAAATGGACAATTCATTACAAATTACATAATTAGGATCAACCAAAATATTCATTCTCAAAAAGGCTATCTCTCATGCTGAGCTGGTCTAAAATCGCCAACTAGACAATGATCGAATGCCAAAGAAGGTAAAGAGAATCAAATTACCTTTTGTCAGGGGACATGAGACTCCCTTCTCCTTATCTCACCCCACATTATACATATTTTATCACTTAATTTAATATAAAAAAGAACAAATACAATTTAATGCATAATTATAATTTACTTTGTGGAGATTGATCTCACATTACATTTCCCGCAGCCAAATTATTCAACCCTTACTCTGCTATACATAATTCCCTTAGTGCTTGATCGTTTTGTTAAAAGGATATTGATTCCTCAATGTTGATCGGGTAATCGTAATCATGCACGGAGATATCCGTGAAACCCTCTACGATGTTTCGATCCGTTGCAGGACTAGTCCAATGATACGTTGAATCATGCAAAGAAACCGAGTTATCAAATCCTTCATTGAATTCCGGCACTTGGTACTTTGATCTGTCGTCTTCCAAAATCAACTCATCTTCAACAATTCACCCAATGCCTGTAATTGAACCAGCTTCAGCTGGACAGAGCTCGTAACTTGCCGAGCTCTGATTTGACTCGAATACAACAGGGTTCAAGTAGTTGTTGGTGGTGGAGATGGCGAACATGCCGGTAACCACGCTTTGCCATGCTTTGAGAACGTCAATGCACGCTGGTTTATCGGTCGATGGTCCAGAGCCTTTGTCGTTGTTGCTACTTTTCTGGTGTGAAGATGAAGGGATTTTCTTTGAGTCTTTAACCAACCTGGCTTCAGCTTCGAGCCGAGCACTCTCCCACTGAGCCATGTGGTTCAGTGAGCCGGTGGTGGTGGAGCCGATGAGAGGGTTTGATTTGGGCTTGTGGGTGGTGGGATCGATCCCCATCTTGTTAAGCCTTTTCTTAATCCGTGTGTTCCAGTAGTTTTTGATCTCGTTGTCGGTTCGGTTGGGTAAGTGAGCTGCAATGGCTGACTACCTTCACAAAAACAACGGTACGTAAACTGTTTTTGACTGATCGGGTAGATAAAAGGAAATGCATGCGATAACAAACTTTCCCAATCCCTAAACGGCATGCTTCATTACATTTTGAGGTGAGACTATCCATTTTTTATTAGAGATTCAAATTCTAAATGATTTAAATAAATAACTCGAAATATAGATATAAGCCAAGAGCTTCTGGTCTTCATCCGGAGTCCATGGCCCTTTCTTCAGCAACCCCATGGTCTCACAGCAACCAGCCATTTTTAGCAATAAAAAACTATTTCCAGAAATGGAGAAGAAGGAATCTGGAGATGTGATTGTTTAGTTAAGTGGTGGAAATTGACACAGCAATATATAGATCCATGTATGGAATCTAGGTCATAACACACATGTCGTAACCGGTTTTTGTCCGGGCACAAATTTTCTTGGTAGAAAAATATGTGAATGAAATAAATGGTTTTTTAAAGAAATGTTTTAGAGTCGCCATCCACCTTTTTGAGTTAGGTAGGTCGAATACCTCAAAATTACCTTTTAAGAGAGTTTTTAAGAAAACATCAGTTAAAAGATAAACCGGTCTGCGTATAACCAAAAATTCATTCTTTTTAGTAATAAAAAGGGATTTGTGGTCGGTTACGTTTGAGGAATGATTAGCACCCCACAACGCCCCATTGATTAAAAATTGTCTTTAGTAGTGAAATCTAAGAATTCGAATATAAATTTAATTTATGATCTATTATTCCATATTCAACCGCATAATTTTATTTAATAGAAAATTATAATAATTCAATATTTCATATAACTAAAACTAAAATAAATTTAGTTTTTAGGTTTTTATAAACATGATATTTATTTATTTTAAAATATCAGAATAGGACATCAAGTTACTTTAAGACAACCATTTCTTAATATTTAAAAATAAATAAATATTAATAAGATGATATTTTTTCCTAAAAATAATTTAAATAAAAATGAAGAAATATATATTTTATAAGCAATATATTATATTTTAAAATACTAGAATAAGACATCTAGTTATTTTAAGACAACCCTTTTTTAATATTTAAAAATAAATAAATATTATTATTTAATTAATTTACAAAATTAATCAAATAATACTTACCAATTTTTCATATATATATATATATATATATATATATATATATATCTTAATGTGTCTAAGATTAATTAAATAAAGATAAAATAAAGAAAAATAATTAAAGTACTAAATTAAAAGTATTTAAAAAAGACAATTATAAAAATAAAACAAAATTATAATTAAACAATCACTAAAATAAAAGAAATTAAAAAATAAGATTAATTTACAAAAATATATAAATTAATAGCCCTAATTCGAAAATATAATAAAATAAAGGTATTAACAATGTAATTTATCCCTAAATAATATTCGAATTAAATTATAAATTATTAAAATCTAAGGGATTAAATCTAATATTTACCCTAAATGTATATAAATACTAGCAGAGACTAAAATATAAATAAAACAAAATGCAAAGTCCAAATTAAAAGGCACAAAAACATGATTTTAGTGACCAATTTGAAACTATTACAAATTTAAGAGACCACTGAAAGAGTTTTCTCATAATGAAATTAGAAAAACACTCCCTCCCCAAAATGAATTAGTTTTCATTTGGGTATAAATAAACCTTAAATGGCCATTTCAAGTTATTTTTCTTCATTTTTCTATTTTGCTTCTCTCTCTAAGGAGAGAGAAGATCTCCATTCTCTCTAAATTCCCTCACCGGAGGGAGCTCCGGCCACCCTCGATCATTATTCACCACCGCTGGTTACTATTCCGATCATATTCACAACCAGAAAAAAAAATACACCAAATCGTAGATCGAAACACCCTAAACCCGAAACCACCCTCCTTTTTTCCTAAAAGTCTTTCAATCAGCCTAGATCTAAGATTTTACCTTCGGTAAAATGGTTTCCGGCGACTTTTGAGCTTCGACAAAGGTATGTTTCTTCTCCCTTTTGTTTCCTTGCTTTTAAATGGCTACTATTGGTTGTTCGTAGCTTTCTTTGTTGGTTGCTTCCTACTTGCTCTCCCTGTCTTCTTTATTTGCAGGATTTCAAGGCTTTTTATAGGCCTCGACGAGCCACTATTATGCTGAACCCTTCGGTGAGTCACCGGATCTACGATGGCGACTCACCGTAGCTTCGATGAGTTGTACGGTCCTCTTTGCGTCTTCTGGAGCCTTCGATGGCGTGTCAGAATTTAGTTGGGGAACATAGCGGCGGAGCAGTTGGATGTAGGCAGCGGGGCAGTTGGATATAGGCGGCAGAGTAGTTGGAGGCATCACCAAAGTCTTCTTAGGGTTGGTGAACCCTAGGATTTCCTGTTGGATTCATTCTGGGTCGTTGGATCTCTCCAGATCCAACGGCTGAGCTTGTTGGCTGCTGAAGAATCGGGTTCTTTGGGCCGGATCTGGTCTTGTTGGGCCTTCAGGTTATTTGGGCCTGCTGGGTTATTTGGGCCTGGATCATTTTTGGGCCTGACTCGGGTTGAACTTATAAACGGGCCTCCGGGTCCTGATTTGTAAATATCTACTATAATAAAATTTCTTATTTATTAATAATATTTATAATAATACAATAATAATATATAAATAATAATAGAAAACAATAACGGGATGAAAATGACTGTCGACAGCTGCCCCTCTTTGTTCATTTTTGTGTTAACAAGAATAGAACAAAGACAAAAGACAAAGAATTTTTGTCCAATTGATTTTATGCTTTGATGAGAGATCCACTTTATTCAAGGGAAATCAAACTAGTGTATGACATTGTTCCTTGTTATGAGGACGTCTAGCCATCTTTAAAGATATTTGAGATAACTCGGTTCCTTCGTGATGAGGACATCTGGCTATCTAAGGATGATGTTGCTCCTTTATGATGAGGAATTCTAATCAATGGATGACATTGTTCCTTCGTGATGAGGACGTCTAGCCATCTTTAAAGATATTTGAGATAACACAGTTCCTTCGTGATGAGGACATCTGGTTATCTAATGATGATGATGCTTCTTCGTGATGAGGAGTTATGATCGGTGGATGACATTATTCCTTCATGATGAGGACGTTTGGCCATCTTTAAAGATATTTAAAATAACATGGTTCCTTCATGATGAGGATATATGGTTATCTAAGGATGATGTTGCTTCTTCGTGATGAGGAGTTCTGATCGGTGGATGACATTGTTCCTTCGTGATGAGGACGTCTGGTTATTTAAGGATGATGCTACATCTTCGTGATGAGGAGTTCTAGTCGGTGGATGTCATTGTTCCTTTGTGATGAGGACGTTTGGCCATCTTTAAATATATTTGAGATAACACGGTTCCTTCGTGATGAGGACGTCTGGTTATCTAAGGATGATGTTTCCTAAAATATCAACAAATGATACATTTATGAATATCATGATCCTATTTATGCCTAAAATGTATACAATGATGCAATTTTAGTGCATTTTCTTTTTCGAATAAGGACCCTTTCTCATTGGCCATTTTCTGACTCATTTTATTTTGGGTACAACAAACAAGGCCGATTTACTTCAATTGAATATCTTAATCTCATCTTTACTCAGATATAGTCTTTTCTTTCTTCTTGAACCTCGCTAGTACCAATGATCAACTATTCTATATATGACAAATATTTGGATCATCTTCATACGATTGAAACTTTCTAGGTACTTCAAATTTTATTTTCCATGTATCAATACAATCTTGAAAGTTGAAATCATTATCAATTTCAGAAAACCTGCATTTAAAAAAAACTTTTTGTACAATAATACACCATGATTTTATGTAATTCAAGTTAAACTACATATTTTAAATTTTCAAAGCAAAATGCTTGCAAAAATGAGAGTTAACAAGAAAAGTCTCTTTTTATTTATACAAATGTAAAGAGTTTTTAAATAATTACATGGCAAACTTTGAAAGAGTTTTTATTTTTAATAGCATAAATACTTCTAAACTGGCATGCCGCAAAGTGATTCAAGTATAGCTTCTGTTAAAAGTATTTCAAGAATCGTGATAATACCTAAGGATGTAAAATCTCTTCTTGACTATCAAATCTCCAGATGTTATGCATCCTTAACAAAGAATCCAAGATTTCAAACATGAATCTTGAATTATAACACTCAAGCCGCCATTTACGGGTTTTCAACTTGAGACCTCCTTTGGTTTCAAGATATCCTTTTCGAATTTTCATCTTAAACCCTCCTTTTTTTCAATTAGGCAAAATACTTTTTAACCACATCAGAATTCACTGGGTGGGGTAATTCTGGCCAGTCCATCTCAGTGAGAACTAGAGCTCCTCCAGAAAATGCTTTCTTTACAATATAAGGTCCTTCCCAATTTGACATCCATTTTCCTCGGGAATCCTTTTGAATATGTAAGATCTTTCTAAGTACGAGATCTCCTTCATAAAATTCTCGGAGGTGAACTTTCTTATCATGTGCTTGTATCATCCGTTTTTGGTACATCTGACCATGACAAATAACTTTCAGTCTCTTTTCTTCAATCAAATTTAACTGGTCATATCTGGCTTGTACCCATTCTGCTTCATTTAGTTTTACCTCTGATAAAACTAGAAGTGAAGGAATTTCTACCTCAATAGGTAGGACAACTTCCATTCCATAGGCTAACAAAAACGGAGTTACCCAATCGATGTTCGTACTGACGTTCTATAAGCCAACAAAGCAAATGGTAGTTTCTCATGCCAATCTTTATAAGTTTCAGTCATCTTCTCTATAAGCCTCTTGATATTCTTATTAGCTGCCTCAACTGCTCAATTCATATTTGGGCGATAGGTAGTGGAATTGTGATGCTTTATTTTGAATTGCTCACAAACTGATTTCATCATCTTGTTGTTTAAATTCAAAGC